TGAGGCAGAGGGAGGTCAGAGCTGAGGCAGAGAGGGAGGTCAGAGCTGAGGCAGAGGGAGGTCAGAGCTGAGGCAGAGGGAGGTCAGAGCTGAGGCAGAGAGGGAGGTCAGAGCTGAGGCAGAGAGGGAGGTCAGAGCTGAGGCAGAGGGAGGTCAGAGCTGAGGCAGAGGGAGGTCAGAGCTGAGGCAGAGAGGGGGAGGTCAGAGCTGAGGCAGGGGGAGGTCAGAGCTGAGGATCTCAGCCCACAGAGTCAGATAGGGACTCACAGGGCTCCGTCTCACATTAAAGATACATGTTTACTAATGAAATTGGACAAACTACATGTGTCTCAGTCCTGGTACCGGTCTCTGGTCCTTGTCCTTGTCTTTGTCTCGGTCCTGGTCCTGGTCTCGGTCCTGGTCTCGGTCATGGTCCTGGTCCTGGTCTCGGTCCTGGTCTCGGCCCTGGTCTCGGCCCTGGTCTCGGTCCTGGTCTCGGTCCTGGTCCTGGTCTCGGTCCTGGTCTCGGTCCTACCACTATCATGCGTGGGTTGAGCTGGGTCAGGTCCAGGTCGTGGATGTCGGGGAAGCGTGGATAATCCTCTGAGGTCTGAGCGAAGGAGAGACGAGGCTGAGACGAGCTCTGAGGAGAGAGGGCCGTTTATGGTACACACCAGGACTGTGACGATGTATCCACATGGTCATGTATCCACATGGTCATGTATCCACATGGTCATGTATCCACATGGTCATGTATCCACATGGTCATGTATCCACATGGTCATGTATCCACATGGTCATGTATCCACATGGTGATGTATCCACATGGTCATGTATCCACATGGTCATGTATCCACATGGTCATGTATCCACATGGTCATGTATCCACATGGTCATGTATCCACATGGTCATGTATCCACATGGTGATGTATCCACATGGTCATGTATCCACATGGTCATGTATCCACATGGTCATGTATCCACATGGTCATGTATCCACATGGTCATGTATCCACATGGTGATGTATCCACATGGTCATGTATCCACATGGTCATGTATCCACATGGTCATGTATCCACATGGTCATGTATCCACATGGTGATGTATCCACATGGTCATGTATCCACATGGTCATGTATCCACATGGTCATGTATCCACATGGTCATGTATCCACATGGTCATGTATCCACATGGTGTAACCCATGGCATTACACGATCTGAAACGTCTGTAGAATGTTCTCATTGATTTTATTGGATTAAAACAGATTTTTACTAAAATGGTTAAAAGTCTTTTTTGCCTGTTCTTAAACTTTAAACTCTGTTTTGGCTCGTGCACAAAACAAACCCAAATGTCTGATTTAAAAACACATCTTACATCTCACATGTTTGTGTGATGCATCATTTTAAAGCTAGAGCCTTCTAGTTTATGTAAATATACACTGAAATAATGTATGTCATTCCTATTTTACTCTGCATCCTTTGAAGTTTGGGAAAAAACCTGTTTTTTTTAGCCTCGCCTAAAAAATCCAATGTATAAATATAATTGGAAGAAGAACATTTCCAACGCTAATTTGTTCATTGTGTTGTTGACAACTGTGTAAAGTTTCAGACTACTAAGTTTTATAGTTTTTATGCAGTTTCTATTTTTTATCAAGTAGTGCCATTCGGAACCAATTTGGCAAAATGTGTGCTAAACTGTGCCAAACTGCTTTACTAACATTTCACCATCATAAAAAGCATATCTTTTAGTTTTGGTATTTATAAGTTACAAATCTGTGTGATTTTCTTTTACATTTTTTCAAAATTATTTTTTTAGTAGTGTAAATGCATATAAAATATGCGCAGCTGTACTAACAGCGTTCATCAAAAGAAAGCTCTTTTTATTGGCTACTTAGACACGTCAATCATTCAGTGCTAGCTCATAGCGCTAGCACATAGCGCTAGCACATAGCGCTAGCTCATAGCGCTAGCACATAGCGCTAGCCTGTAATCAACAACAAGGGAAAAAGGACCCTGTGCAAGTGGATGCGGTTCGTCTTCTTCACAAGGGTCCTGCGGACTGAAACCTGCTCCGATCTTTTCATGGAACCTCTCTTTTTGAAGCTAAGGACTCAATGAACACGTGGATATGATGTTTGTGGCTAAACAAAGCTCAAACTTGGTGAAATGTGAAAGAGAAGCCTGAACATTTTTCGGAGCGTTTTATTTCTGAAGAATGGATTATACTTTGGGAAATACAAGTGGATATTCTTTTTCAATGAAGACTTACGGAGCGAAAGAGACTGAGCAAGGACGGGGAAAGTCTAATTTGTTGGAGCAGCAGAAGACAAAATGTAAAAAACATTTATTTTGTGCCCATATTATGCGTTATATCTTTTTAATGCAAAGTGTGATATCGTTTACACTTACATATAAATACAGCTGAGAAAATAAGCTTTAAAATGATATATAGCTTGTGGCTTATGAAGTTAGCGGATGTATTTTTTTTCTCGTCCCGCCGGCCGGGGCTCGCGAGCTTTAATGTTACACTTTATCCGATTATCTTGAAATAAACTGTTTTCTTAAATTATGACATAAATATAAGACAAATATTATCGTAGGAATATTTTTGACCAATATATCGATAATCGCTGCATTGTCATATCGTGAGGTTACCACCCCTACACCAGGAGAGAGAGACCAGAGAGAGAGACCAGAGAGAGACCAGAGAGAGACCAGAGAGAGAGACCAGAGAGAGACCAGAGAGAGAGACCAGAGAGAGACCAGAGAGAGACCAGAGAGAGACCAGAGAGAAACCAGAGAGAGAGACCAGAGAGAGACCAGAGAGAGAGACCAGAGAGAGGACCAGAGAGAGACCAGAGAGAGAGACCAGAGAGAGAGACCAGGAGAGAGACCAGAGAGAGAGACCAGAGAGAGAGACCAGACAGAGACCAGAGAGAGACCAGAGAGACCAGAGAGAGACCAGAGAGAGAGACCAGAGAGAGAGACCAGAGAGAGACCAAGAGAGAGACCAGAGAGAGAGACCAGGAGAGAGACCAGAGAGAGAGACCAGAGAGAGAGACCAGAGAGAGACCAGAGAGAGAGACCAGAGAGAGACCAGGAGAGAGAGACCAGAGAGAGAGACCAGACAGAGACCAGAGAGAGACCAGAGAGACCAGAGAGAGACCAGAGAGAGAGACCAGAGAGAGAGACCAGAGAGAGACCAGAGAGAGAGACCAGAGAGAGAGACCAGGAGAGAGACCAGAGAGAGAGACCAGAGAGAGAGACCAGAGAGGGACCAGAGAGAGAGACCAGAGAGAGACCAGAGAGAGAGACCAGAGAGAGACCAGAGAGAGAGACCAGAGAGAAACCAGAGAGAGAGACCAGAGAGAGAGACCAGAGAGAGACCAGAGAGAGAGACCAGAGAGAGAGACCAGAGAGAGAGACCAGAGAGAGACCAGAGAGAGAGACCAGAGAGAGACCAGAGAGAGAGACCAGAGAGAAACCAGAGAGAGAGACCAGAGAGAGACCAGAGAGAGACCAGAGAGAGAGACCAGAGAGAGACCAGAGAGAAACCAGAGAGAGAGACAGAGAGAGAGAGACCAGAGAGAGACCAGAGAGACCAGAGAGAGACCAGAGAGAGAGACCAGAGAGAGAGACCAGAGAGAGACCAGAGAGAGAGACACAGAGAGAGAGAACCAGGAGAGAGACCAGAGAGAGACCAGTAGAGAGGAGACCAGAGAGGGACCAGTCGAGAGAGGAGGACCAGAGAGCGAGAACCAGATGAGAGAGACCAGAGAGATGAGACCAGAGAGGACTGACCCGATGCGTCTTACATGGTAGCAGGCCCGTGCAGCAGCAGTGATACCAGCTGGGACCTCAAGGACTGTACATGAGAAGGTGAGCGGCCTGAAGCGCTCCTCCCATTACTCCATCATCATGGGCGACTGGTCTGGGTACAGGTTAGGGTACGGCTCATGTCTGAGGGGGGAGGGGGAGGGAGAGGGAGAGAGGGGAGAGAGGGAGAGGAGAGAGAAGGGACAGCGGCAGGGGGGAGGAGAGAGGGGAGAGAGGGAAGAGAGGGAGAGGTGGAGAGGGGAGAGAGTGGGAGGGAGAGGGGAGAAGGGGAGAGGGGGAGAGGGGGAGAAGAGGGGCAGCCGGCAGAGGGGGGAGGAGGAGAGGGAAAGAGAGGGAGAGGAGAGAGGGGAGAGGGGGGGAGAGAGGGCAGCGGCAGAGGGGGGAGGAGAGAGGGGAGAGAAAGAAGAGAGGGAGAGTTTCTTGTTGTTGGTGATTCTCTTAAAAACATCTTTGTCGATCATTGGTTCAAATAAAAGTTTGCTGCTGATTTAAGATGAAACAGTCATCCTCCGGTTTCAACAGTAGCCCTCCTGGTTCAACAGTGGTTCACAGTAGCCCTCCTGGTTCACAGTAGTCCTCGCTGGGGTCCACAGTCGTCCTCCTGGTTCACAGTAGTCCTCCTGGTCCAACAGTAAGACCTCCTGGTTCAACAGTAGTCCTCCTGGTTCACAGTAGTCCTCCTGGTTCACAGTAGTCCTCCTGGTTCACAGTAGTCCTCCTGGTCACTCCTGGTTCACAGTCGTCCTCCTGGTTCACAGTAGTCCTCCTGGTTCACAGTCCTCCTGGTCCACAGTAGTCCTCCTGGTTCACAGTAGTCCTCCTGGTCCACAGTAGTCCTCCTGGTTCACAGTAGTCCTCCTGGTTCACAGTAGTCCTCCTGGTCCACAATAGTCCTCCTGGTCCACAGTAGTCCTCCTGGTTCACAGTAGTCCTCTGGTTCACAGTTCGTCCTCCTGGTCCACAGTCGTCTCCTGGTTCACAGTAGTTCCTCCTGGTCCACAGTGGCGCTCCTGGTTCACAGTAGTCCTCCTGGTTCACAGTAGTCCTCCTGGTTTCACAGTTATTCTCCTGGTTCCACAGTAGTCCTCCTGGTTCACAGTGAGTCCTCCTGGTCCACAGTTAGTCCTCCTGGTCCACAGTAGTCCTCCTGGTTCACAGTCGTCCTCCTGGTCCACAGTAGTCCTCCTGGTTCACAGTTCACAGTCGTCCTCCTGGTCCACAGTCGTCCTCCTGGTCCACAGTCGTCCTCCTGGTTCACAGTAGTCCTCCTGGTTCACAGTAGTCCTCCTGGTTCACAGTAGTCCTCCTGGTTCACAGTAGTCCTCCTGGTTCACAGTAGTCCTCCTGGTCCACAGTAGTCCTCCTGGTCCACAGTAGTCCTCCTGGTCCACAGTAGTCCTCCTGGTTCACAGTAGTCCTCCTGTTCCACAGTAGTCCTCTGGTCCCTCCACCTGTCTGGAGCATCTGCTGCAGGGATGGTCTCCCCCTCTCTGGCTTGGTCCTGGGGGGAAGGTCCTCACACATTTACTAGTTACTGGTCGGGTTACGACATTCATGGGATGACAGCGACGCCTCTGCTCCCCAGCCCGAGGCAGGACACTGGAGCGCTGGGACAGAGAACCAGTTAGTCCTGGTCTCAGGTCTCTGTCCTGAAGTCCTCTCACATTAGTCCTGGTCTCAGGTCTCTGTCCTGAAGTCCTCTCACATTAGTCCTGGTCTCAGGTCTCTGTCCTGAAGTCCTCTCACATTAGTCCTGGTCTCAGGTCTCTGTCCTGAAGTCCTCTCACATTAGTCCTGGTCTCAGGTCTCTGTCCTGAAGTCCTCTCACATTAGTCCTGGTCTCAGGTCTCTGTCCTGAAGTCCTCTCACATTAGTCCTGGTCTCAGGTCTCTGTCCTGAAGTCCTCTCACATTAGTCCTGGTCTCAGGTCTCTGTCCTGAAGTCCTCTCACATTAGTCCTGGTCTCAGGTCTCTGTCCTGAAGTCCTCTCACATTAGTCCTGGTCTCAGGTCTCTGTCCTGAAGTCCTCTCACATTAGTCCTGGTCTCAGGTCTCTGTCCTGAAGTCCTCTCACATTAGTCCTGGTCTCAGGTCTCTGTCCTGAAGTCCTCTCACATTAGTCCTGGTCTCAGGTCTCTGTCCTGAAGTCCTCTCACATTAGTCCTGGTCTCAGGTCTCTGTCCTGAAGTCCTCTCACATTAGTCCTGGTCTCAGGTCTCTGTCCTGAAGTCCTCTCACATTAGTCCTGGTCTCAGGTCTCTGTCCTGAAGTCCTCTCACATTAGTCCTGGTCTCAGGTCTCTGTCCTGAAGTCCTCTCACATTAGTCCTGGTCTCAGGTCTCTGTCCTGAAGTCCTCTCACATTAGTCCTGGTCTCAGGTCTCTGTCCTGAAGTCCTCTCACATTAGTCCTGGTCTCAGGTCTCTGTCCTGAAGTCCTCTCACATTAGTCCTGGTCTCAGGTCTCTGTCCTGAAGTCCTCTCACATTAGTCCTGGTCTCAGGTCTCTGTCCTGAAGTCCTCTCACATTAGTCCTGGTCTCAGGTCTCTGTCCTGAAGTCCTCTCACATTAGTCCTGGTCTCAGGTCTCTGTCCTGAAGTCCTCTCACATTAGTCCTGGTCTCAGGTCTCTGTCCTGAAGTCTCTCACATTAGTCCTGGTCTCAGGTCTCTGTCCTGAAGTCCTCTCACATTAGTCCTGGTCTCAGGTCTCTGTCCTGAAGTCCTCTCACATTAGTCCTGGTCTCAGGTCTCTGTCCTGAAGTCCTCTCACATTAGTCCTGGTCTCAGGTCTCTGTCCTGAAGTCCTCTCACATTAGTCCTGGTCTCAGGTCTCTGTCCTGAAGTCCTCTCACATTAGTCCTGGTCTCAGGTCTCTGTCCTGAAGTCCTCTCACATTAGTCCTGGTCTCAGGTCTCTGTCCTGAAGTCCTCTCACATTAGTCCTGGTTCTCAGGTCGCTGTCCTGAAGTCCTCTCACATTAGTCCTGGTCTCAAGTCTCTGTCCTGAAGTCCTCTCACTTTAGTCCTGGTCTCAGGTCTCTGTCCTGAAGTCCTCTCACTTTAGTCCTGGTCTTAGGTCTCTGTCCTGAAGTCCTCACATTAGTCCTGGTCTCAGGTCTCTGTCCTGAAGTCCTCCTCACAATTAGTCCTGGTCTCAGGTCTCTGTCCTGAAGTCCTCTCACATTAGTCCTGGTCTCAGGTCTCTGTCCTGAAGTCCTCTCACATTAGTGGTCTCTGTCCTGAAGTCCTCTCACATTAGTGGTCTCTCTCTCTGGTCTCTCTCTCTGGCCTCTCTCTCTCTCGTCTCTCTCTGGTCTCTCTCTGGTCTCCCTCTGGTCTCCCTCTGGCCTCTCTCTCTGGCCTCTCTCTCTGGCCTCTCTCTCTGGTCTCTCTCTGGTCTCTCTCTGGTCTCTCTCTGGTCTCTCTCTGGTCTTCTCTCTGGTCTCTCTCTGGTCTCTCTCTGGTCTCTCTCTGGTCTCTCTCTCTGGTCTCTCTCTTGGTCTCTCTCCTGGTCTCTCTCTCTGGTCTCTCTCTCTGGTCTCTCTCTGGTCTCTCTCTGGTCTCTCTCTGGTCTCTCTGGTCTCTCTCTCTGGTCTCTCTCTCTGGTCTCTCTCTCTGGTCTCTCTCTCTGGTCTCTCTCTCTGGTCTCTCTCTGGTCTCTCTCTCTGGTCTCCTCTCTCTGGTCTCTCTCTCTGGTCTCTCTCTCTGGTCTCTCTCTCTGGTCTCTCTCTCTGGTCTCTCTCTGGTCTCTCTCTGGTCTCTCTCTGGTCTCTCTCACTGGTCTCTCTCTGGTCTCTCTCTCTGGTCTCTCTCTCTGGTCTCTCTCTGGTCTCTCTCTGGTCTCTCTCTCTGGTCTCTCTCTGGTCTCTCTCTGGTCTCTCTCTGGTCTCTCTCTGGTCTCTCTGGTCCTCTCTCTCTGGTCTCTCTCTCTGGTCTCTCTCTCACTGGTCTCTCTCTTGGTCTCTCTCTCTGGGTCTCTCTCTGGTCTCTCTCTGGTCTCTCTCTGGTCTCTCTCTCTGGTCTCTCTCTGGTCTCTCTCTCTCTCACTGGTCTCTCTCTGGTCTCTCTCTCTGGTCTCTCTCTGGTCCCTCTCTGGTCTCTCTCTCTGGTCTCTCTCTCTGGTCTCTCTCTGGTCTCTCTCTGGTCTCTCTCACTGGTCTCTCTCTGGTCTCTCACTGGTCTCTCTCTGGTCTCTCTCTGGTCTCTCTCTCTGGTCTCTCTCTGGTCTCTCTCTGGTCTCTCTCTGGTCTCTCTCTGGTCCCTCTCTGGTCTCCCTCTCTGGTCTGTCTCTGGTCTCTCTCTGGTCTCTCTCTGGTCTCTCTCTGGTCTCTCTCTGGTCTCTCTCTGGTCTCTCTCTGGTCTCTCTCTGGTCTCTCTCTGGTCTCTCTCTGGTCTCTCTCTGGTCTCTCTCTGGTCTCTCTCACCTTGTATTGGATGTTGTTGCTGACCAGGACGTTGCCTTTGCCAAAGTCTCGGTGCTGGAGCCGGTTCTCGGTGACCACAGGGAACGCATGGAACACTGTGGTCCTGAGGATGCTGACCAGAGACTGGACCCGAGTGTGAGGGTAGATGTAAGTGAGGTCCGGCTGCATGATGTCACTGGCTGTGAGTCTGAGGAGGAGAGAGAGGAGGAGAGAGAGGAGGTGAGAGAGGAGGAAGGGACAGAGGAGGTGAGAGGAGGGGTGAGAGGAGGCGAGAGAGGAGGAGAGGAGGTGAGAGACGAGGTGAGAGAGGAGGAGAGAGAGGAGGAGAGAGAGGAGGAGAGAGGGGAGGTGAGAGAGGAGGAAGGGACAGAGGAGGTGAGAGACGAGGTGAAAGAGGAGGAGAGAGAGGAGGAGAGAGGGGAGGTGAGAGGGGAGGAGAGAGAGGAGGAGAGAGGGGAGGTGAGAGGGGAGAGAGAGAGAGGAGGAGAGGAGGTGAGAGACGAGGTGAGAGAGGAGGAGAGAGGGGAGGTGAGAGAGGAGGAAGGGACAGAGGAGGTGAGAGACGAGTGGTGAGAGAGGAGGAGAGGAGGTGAGAGACGAGGTGAGAGATGAGGAGAGAGAGGAGGTGAGAGAGGAGGAGAGAGAGGAGGAGAGGAGGTGAGAGACGAGGTGAGAGATGAGGAGAGAGAGGAGGTGAGAGAGGAGGAAGGGACAGAGGAGGTGAGAGGAGGAGGAGAGAGGAGGTGAGAGAGGAGGAGGAGAGAGGAGGTGAGAGGAGGGGAGAGAGGAGGTGAGAGAGGAGGAGAGAGAGGAGGAGAGAGAGGAGGAGAGAGGGGAGGAGAGAGACGAGGTGAGAGAGGAGGAGAGAGAGTAGGTGAGAGAGGAGGAAGGGACAGAGGAGGTGAGAGGAGGGGAGAGACTGGATCCAAATGTGAGGATAGATATACGTGAGTCTGAGGAGGAGAGAGAGGAGAGACTGGACCCGAGTGTGAGGGTAAATGTATTTGAGGTTCGGCTGCATGATGTCACTAGCCGTGAGTCTGATGAGGAGAGAGGAGAGGAGAGAAGAGGAGAGAGAGGAGAGAGAGGAGGAGGGGAGAGAGAGGACGAGAGAGATGAGGTGGGAGAGGAGAAGAAAGAGGAGGGGGGGAGAGAGGAGAGAGAAGAGGAGGAGAGAGGAGGTGAAAGGAGAGAGACATTTGGTGGGAGAGAAGTCTGAGGGAGTGGAGAGGAGCAGATGAGAGAGCGGAGGAAGAGGACAGACGTAGTTTGAGCACAGAGCGTTTGCACAGAAGGGGTGGGGGTCTCTCACTTGTCCATCTGCAGCTCAGTCTCCCACTCCAGCAGAGGAACTCCTCTCAGCGCGATGTGGATGTCGTAGATACCTTTGTTGAACAGGTCTCCAGTCCATTTAGCCACCTGCACACACCAGCAACGCACTCTGGTCTCTCTCTGGTCTCTCACTGGTTTCTCTCCCTGGTCTCTCTCCCTGGTCTCTCTCCCTGGTCTCTCTCCCTGGTCTCTCTCCCTGGTCTCTCTCTCTGGTCTCTCTCTGGTCTCTCTCTGGTCTCTCTCTCTGGTCTCTCTCTCTGGTCTCTCTCTCTGGTCTCTCTCTCTGGTATACGTACCATAAGTGTGATCATGATGGGCAGACCATATGTGATCTCGTTGGTGGACTCGATGAGGATCACAGTGAGGCTGATGGTCATGCGGACCACGCCCCCCAAGAAGGCCGCCGCCCCCACCAGAGCAAAGGTACCAGAGTACACATCCATCTGCAGCTCTCTGTGACACAGGTATACAGAGACATGTATACAGAGACATGTATACAGAGACATGTATACTGAGACATGTATACAAAGACATGTATACAGAGACATGTATACATCCATCCATCCATCCATTTTCTTCCGCTTCATCCGTTGCCGGGTCGCGGGGGCAGCAGTCTAAGCAGAGACGCCCAGACTTCCCTATCCACACACACTTCCTCCAGCTCGTCCGGGGGGACCCCAAGGCGTTCCCAGGCCAGCTGAGAGACATAGTCCCTCCAGCGTGTCCTAGGTCTTCCGCGGGGCCTCCTCCCGGTGGGACGTGCCCGGAACACCTCCCCAGGGAGGCGTCCAGGAGGCATCCTGAACAGATGCCCGAGCCACCTCAACTGGTTCCTCTCGACGTGGAGTAGCAGCGGCTCTACTCCGAGCTCCTCCCGTGTGACTGAGCTCCTCACCCTATCTCTAAGGGAGCAGCCACTCTGCGGAGGAAGCTCATTTCGACCGCTTGTATCCGCGATCTCGTTCTTTCGGTCATTACCCAAAGCTCATGACCATAGGTGAGGGAGGGAACGAAGATTGACCGGTAAATCGAAGGCTTTGCCTTTCGGCTCAGCTCCCTCTTCACCACGACGGTCCGATACAGCGACCGCATCACTGCGCACGCTGCACCAATCCGCCTGTCAATCTCACGCTCCATCCTTCCCTCACTCGTGAACATGACCCCGAGATACTTGAACTCCTCCACTTGAGCTCCAGGCACCTTTTTCCGGTCGAGCACCATGGCCTCGGATTTGGAGGTGCTGATTCTCATCCCAGCCGCTTCACACTCGGCTGCAAACCGCCCCAGTGCATGCTGCAGGTCCTGGTTCGTTGGAGCCAGCAGGACGACATCATCCGCAAAAAGTAGAGATTAAATCCTGTGGTCCCCGAACCGGACCCCCTCTGACCCCTGGCTGCGCCTAGATATTCTGTCCATAAATACAGTGAACAGAACCGGTGATAAAGGGCAGCCCTGTCGGAGGCCAACATTCACCGGGAACAGGTCTGACTTACTGCCGGCAATGCGAACACAGCTCTGGCTCCGGTCATACAGGGACCGGACGGCCCTCAGCAGAGGACCCCGGACCCCGTACTCCCGGAGGACCCCCCAAAGGACACCCCGGGGAACACGGTCGAACGCCTTCTCCAAATCCACAAAGCACATGTGAACAGGTTGGGCGAACTCCCATGAACCCTCGAGTATCCGATGGAGAGTATAGAGCTGGTCCAGTGTTCCACGGCCGGGACGAAAACCACACTGCTCCTCCTGAATCCGAGGCCGTAGCCTCCTCTCCAGTACCTTGGAGTAGACCTTACCGGGGAGGCTGAGGAGTGTGATCCCACGATAATTGGAACACACCCTCCGATCCCCCTTCTTGTAGAGAGGGACCACCACCCCGGTCTGCCACTCCATCGGCACCGCCCCCGATCGCCACGCGATGTTGCAGAGACGTGTCAGCCAAGACAGTCCTACAACATCCAGAGACTTTAAATAGTCAGGACGAATCTCATCCACTCCCGGCGCCTTGCCACCATGGAGGCTGCCAACCACCTTGGTGACCTCTGCCAGGGAGATGGAAGTATCCGCCCCAACATCCTCAGCCTCTGCCTCCTGGACGGAGGACGTGACGGGGGGATTGAGGAGAACCTCAAAGTATACCTTCCACCGCCCGACAATATCCCCAGTCAAGGTAAGCAGCCCTCCACCCGCACCATACACGGTGTTGGCAAAGAACTGCTTCCCCCTCCTGAGGCGCCGGACGGTTTGCCAGAACCTCTTCGAGGCCGAACGATAGTCATGCTCCATGGACTCTCCGAACTCCTCCCAGTCCTGGGTTTTTGCCTCTGCAACAACCCGGGCCGCGGCACGCTTGGCCTGCCGGTACTGGACAGCTGCCTCCGGAGTCCCACGAACCATCATTGCTCGATAGGACTCCTTCTTCAGCCTGACGGCATCCCTCACTGCCGGTGTCCACCACCGGGTTCGGGGGTTGCCGCCGGGACCAGCACCAGAGACCTTGCGACCACAGCTACGAGCCGCCGCATTGGCGATAGAGGAAGAGAACATGGTCCACTCGGACTCGATGTCCCCCTCCTCTGCCGGGACCTGGGAGGAGCTCTCCCGGAGGTGCGAGTTGAAAGTCCGCTGACAGGGGGCTCAGCGAGACGTTCTCAGCAAACCCTCACTACACGCTTGGGCCTGCCAGGTCTGACCGGCCTCCTGCCCTGCCAGCGGATCCAACTCACGACCAGGTAATGATCGGTTGACAGCTCCGCCCCTCTCTTCACCCGAGTGTCCGAGACACGCGGTCAAAGGTCAGATGATACGACAACAAAGTGGATCATCGACCTCCGGCCTCGGGTGTCCTGGTGCCACGTGCACTGGTGGACACCCTTGTGCTCGAACATGGTGTTCGTGATGGACAGGCCGTGACTGGCACAGAAGTCCAACAACTGAACACCACTCGGGTTCAGATCAGGGGGGCCGTTCTTCCCGATCACCCCTCTCCAAGTGTCACTGGCATTTCCCACATGGGCGTTGAAGTCCCCCAGGAGAATGACGGAGTCCCCGGGCGGTGCACCGTCCAGTACCCCTCCCAAGGACTCCAAGAAGGCCGGG